AGACAGAAAGCGAGAAATCACCCCCCAGGGGGGATGGTCACGCCGCAATCCCTTCTCCTCCATTCTCCTCTCGGGATCTTGGACACGCACGCACACGTGCCCGGCTTGAGTTTTAAGCCACCAGGGCGGGGATGCAAACCGCAGTCGACTACGTGGGAGTCCAGCGACATAGCCATTATGCTAACTGCTGGTCCCATACTTCCTGTATTTTGTATTTCTGTAGTTCTGAGGGTTTTTTTACAACAGATATTGATAGTTGGGGGAAAAAATAAGTTCCAAGTAACTACCAAGCAAAGCCCATCATTAGTTGTGAGATGAGAACGGAGAAAACCTAAACCCCACAGGACCTTGGCACTCAAAGTATGATCCCCAGGGCATGACCGGGTCCTTCTAAAAAAGGCAAAAACTTAGGCCCTATCCTGGGTCTACAGTTCTATTTATGCTAAAGTGGGAAAAGTACGGAGCATTCATATTATTACTGCTTTCACTTGGTGCACGTAATTTCTACAATAAAAAAAATGGATTTTTTTTAAACTTAGAAGAATATAGTGGTTTTATAACTTGAACAAAAAGATTAATATGCTTCTAAGAACAGATTTTCAACCCTATGATGGCAATTGACGGAGCTCCCCTCGAAGTCCGTGCTCTCCGGGGGCACACAGTCAAGTAATAGGCAGGGATGAGTTGGCAGATAGACGGGAAAATATGTAAAACTGTACAAATACAAGGTACAAAGTGAAAATGAGTGACAACTCATTCAAGTTTGTTAGTTGTTGGGATGGCCCCATGGCCTCATGGTTAAAGGAGTCAGATCCCATGTGGCTACCCACACAGTGCAGATCCTGGTGCTGGGAGCTTGAAAAACATGCCAAGTACATGTGTGCACATGCCCGAGTTCTGACAGGATAGAATATGAAGGCAAGTGATTGTGTGGTGTGACCACACTTCATTAGAGAGTGCTTTCCCTCTCTCCCTCTTTCTCTAGCAAGCACGCACACCCTCTTGCAATTAAAAGAAAAAAGAAGAGAAGAAAAGAGAAAAGTTTGTTAATTGAATTATTTAGCTAAATAAAGGAAATCAAAGGACCAGACCTTGGTGCAGTGGTGGGGAGACTGGACCTACATCAGAAGGTCCTGGGTTCACTTCTTGGGGCCTCTGTACCCACTGAGTGCACACATTCATGCCTGTGACCAGGGCGACCTGAGACTGGGGTGATTGTGACATAGGGACTATTTGGTCTATTGGAGACGTCTCTCTCTCCCTACCTATCTCTATCTCTACCTCTCTCCTCCTCTCTATATATTTATCTCTCTCCCTCTCTGAAAAAATTAATTAAAAATCTTTTTTTTTTTAATGACCCAATAATGTCTTTGAATACCTTACTCACTTTTTATCACTCAAAAGTAGAAGAAGGATACTGGAGCAACAAATTCCAGACTTAATTGTGACCATCAGAGCTAATGGTATAAAAACCAGGAGGAACTGGGGATGGAAAAATAACAATGTGGTCTTGTACTTATGATATTAAAAATAAAACAAACAAACAAAAAAGAACAATGGCTACAGCCAGATTTTAGACAAGCCCCATTGATCCTAGAGTCTAAATTGAATACAGTTCAACTGGAGTGGAATGTCTTGAAAATGAATCATTTGATCTATACATCTGCCAGCAGCCCAGATTCGAAGAGAATAGCAGGAGGACTTTTTCATTTATTTAAAAAAAAAAAAAAATCATGTGTCTCTATAGGGAGCTTTCTGGTGATCAAAATTTTCAAAGATCATTTACAAACAATGTAAGAACAGGCATATGGTGAATAAATAGTTTATGACATTCCCCTTCAAGCTACTTATATTTTACATCTTGACCTATGTGAAGATAGCAATAATATTTGTAATTTTCTTACAAATCCAATTTACAGAAGCTTAGACTAGTGTGTCGAAGATCTAAAACTCTGGGAGAGATTTATCCGTGTGCTCCCTTGGAAACTAGAGACTTGCATACTGGCAATAAGAGAAAATGACACACTATGCTGGTCATTTTCTGAAGGAGGAAAATAAAAGGCCAGATAAAAAGGTGCTTTGAAGTGCCATTACATGCATGACTCTGGTGGACAGCCTGGAGGCTGGGAAGAGAGGATGCACTGACCATTGAAGAATCAGGGGCCGGTCGCGCCTACAATCCTAGACTCAAGCCACACATCTGGAACATTTCAATAAAGGCCTTGGAGATAAGATTGACAGCTTCATGTCAGACATAATTAGATGAACGAGGGTTTCAATCCCTGATATGTGAGATGAAAGTAAAGTAGGACAAAAGCAGAAATAATAGCAACTCTTTAGATAAAAGTGAATAGGACAGAGATATTTGTGAAATAAATAAAAGAATCCACCAAAGTCACTCTCCTTTGAACCCAGCAATGTCTTGACAACCCTTGCTGACATTCCAACACTTGAGTCCAAAGAAATAGCTTAACAGGATCTTCCATCCAGGATTCTAGTCCTTACTATTACTTGTCATTTCTAAAAAAAAATTATCACAGCTTATCTACTTAATACCTAAATAAAAATACATGGATATCATGTCTAAAATATGGTTCTCATACATAGCTTTTTTTCTTTTTTACACAAAAAGATGTATATGGTTTAATGGATAAAAGATACTGCATCATTGGAATTATTTAATACATGGTCTATTTCACTTGGGTTTAACTTTCAACCTAAAATCTGTAATTTTTTTAAACCAGTGCTCTCTGACCTAAACAATGGAATTAAGTGTATTTGTTTATTTTCCACCTTTTACAAGTAAAGAAGATTTGAGGCAACTTAAAACAAATTAAAGCCCAAAAGAAAGTTATGACCACTCTGTGCCTTAGGGTTTTCAAGAGTGCTGTGAATGAGTTGCAAGCATTGTCCTGGTCTTCTTGCTAAGTATAATTGTTCTCATTATCATGAAAAATATTAAGCCATAGAAAGCTGTAGAATAAAGCATATATTGTGTTAATATTTTAAAAATTTCTTTTGTTAATATTATGAACAACAACAATATTAATCACAATGAACATTAATCTCTGCCCTCCTCGAAATCCCACAGCACTGATTATACTACTCAATGTGGTCCACAGATGAGCAGCATTGACATCACCTGGGAGCTTGTTAGAAATTCAGACTCTCAGGCTCCATTCTAGAACTGCTGAGTCAGAAACTGCATTTTAACAAGATTTACAAGTGATCTCTATGAGCAGTAAAGCTTGAGAAATACAGGACTATAATACTAATCTCCCAGCAAAATTATCAATTATTCAGAACAGAAACTAGCTTATTCTCTTCCTTCATCCACAACACTAAGCACAGTAGAGAAAATATTATAGGGGTTGAATAAAATCATGAATAAAATTTTTTATAAAATTTTTTACACATTAAAATGTCTTTAACATATTGAGTTAAGTGAAATACTGGGTCGCTGGAAAAGTTATGATGTATTTTTCTATGTTTTTCTTTTTTTTTCACATTTATTGACTTACAAAAGATCTTAAACTAAATACTTTCAATAGGAAATACAGTTGATATAAACGTATCCATGAACACATGTTTGACTTTAGGCATAAAACTCAGCAAGTATACTATAAAGCAGTATCTAGCTGAGGCTATATAGCTTACTGCAGTCATTAAGTAGGTATGTTTTTGATTTATTTTTGTTTGCTTGCTTTTTATGTTCTTTTTTAATTCGAAGAAAAGCAGACTTAGCTTTAATCAAAATTTTAAATGTTAAGAAAAATTTGATTAAGGGAACCAGCAGTTAGCGTAATGGCTATGTCGCTGGACTCCCACGTAGTCAACCGCAGTTCGTGTCCCGGACCCGGTGGCTTAAAACTCACGCCGGGTACGTGTGCGTGCGTGCCCAAGATCCTCCTCGGGAGAGGAGAATGGAGGAGAAGGGATTGCGGCGTGACCATCCCCCCTGGGGGGTGATTTCTCACTTTCTGTCTCTATGTCTCTCTCTGTCTGTCTGGCGAGCGCACGCGCCCTACAGTGAAAATCTCTCAAAAAAAAAAAAAAAAGAAAAAGAAAAGAAAAAGAAAAATTTGATTAAGACTTAAAGCCAGAAAATAGGTTAGGATTCTGTGCAAACAGTAGTTAGATACTAAAAACTCAAAAAACAGATATGGACAAAGCTAAAATCTAGTAACAAGTTCCCTGTCATTTTCTTCTGAAATATTTTTTTTCTTTCTCCATTTCCCCTTTTGAACTAAGTTATTTGCAAAGAAAAGGAAAAAAAAAAAGATACTTATAAGTATTTTCCAATTCCAGAGGGGTCAGGAAGGGAGAAGTTTGTTTCAAGTACAAAAAAATTAACAAATTGCTGAACCTATCAAAAGCTCAAAAGAACACAAAAATCCTTAAATATGGAAGACAAAGGATAGAAGAAAATCAGTAATGTTTTAATCAAATGTCATAAAATTCTATTTCACCAGTTCAGTCTCATGTAGTTAATCTCCCTTCTGTTGAATTTGCATGGTTACTGTGGTCCGATATTTCTGTTTTAATCCTGGAAGTTAACATTCAACATTACTATTGATATTTCCAGACTTGTTCCTAGTATTAGGTTGGCCATTTTCTTGGTTGTTTTTAATTTTATTTTTATCTGTCTGTCTTTAGTTTTCCTAGTATAATACTCCTTTCAGAACTTCTCGAAGAGTGGGACCAGCAGTTAGCGTAATGGCTATGTCGCTGGACTCCCATGTAGTCTACCGCAGTTCGAGTCCCGGACCCGGTGGCTTAAACTCACGCCGGGCACATGTGCGTGCGTGCCCAAGATTCCGAGAGGAGAATGGAGGAGAAGGGATTGCGGCGTGGCCATCCCCCCTGGGGGGTGATTTCCTGCTTTCTGTCTCTCTGTCTCTCTCTGTCTGTCTGGCAAGCGCACGTGCCCTATAGCAAAAACCTCTCCAAAAAAAAAAAAAACTTCTCAAAGAGTTGATTTCGGGTTGGTAAATTCTTTCAGGTTTTGTTTTTCTGAGAATGTTTTTTATCTTTTCTTCCCATATGAAGGATAATCTTGCCGGGTATAGTAGTCTTGGCTGAAATTGTTCTTCATTTAATACTTTGAGTATATTTTCTTCCATTCTTTCCTTGCTTGCATTGCTTCTGATGAGAGATCTGATGTAAGTTTGTTGGGATAAACTTTGTAAGTAACTTGACATTTCTCTCTTGACAATTATAGAATCTTGTCTTTGTCTGAGGTTTTGGCCAATCCGGCTATGATGTGCCTTGGAGAAGAGCTTCCTTAATTGATTATATTTGGGATCTTTTGTATTGCCTGAGTCTGGGTATTTGAATGCCTCTCTAGGTTTGAAAAGTTTTCTTCCAGGATTTCATGGAATAAATTATCAATGCCCTTATTAGTTTCTTCACTTTCTGGAAAACCAATTATCTGGATGTTTGAGGGTTTAACAGTACCTAGTATTTCTCATACATCATTCTCATATTTTAGAGTTATCTTCTCAGTCTTTTTGGTTATTTTTTTCTAGGCCAGAGGTTTTGTCTTCTACATCTGAGATTCAACCTTCTGTGTGGTCTAATCTGCTTTTAATAGTTTCTAGGGAGGTTTTGATTTCCTGTATTACAGCCTTCATCTCTAACAACTCCATTTGATTTTTTTTTTTTATGGTGTGTATTTCTTCTTTCAGATCATGGAAGAACTTTTTCGTCTCCTGAACTCATTGTCTCTTTTCTCTTATATCTTCTGGAGTTTATTGTCTCTCTTTTCTTGCATCTTGATTGGTTTTGTCACTATGAAAATTCTAAATTCTTTATTGGACATTTCCACAAGTTCCATTGTACTGCCTGTGGATGATGAAGAGTTGTTCTTTTCCCTTGAATGAGAGATATTTTCTTGGTTTCTTGTATTTCACATGTCTCTGCAGTGGTATCTGGTCATCTAATTGACTATACGTTTCTTCCTAATTTCTTGATGTTAATTCTAAACGTTCAGAGGTGTGCAGGAGGAGATGGCACACAATCTCTGCAGTTCTGTTTCCCTAATGCTCATCAAGCAACCTGCACTTTTGTCATTAGAACTGGATATTACAACGGTCTCCAGTTTCTAAGAAGATGCACCTGGGCTGAGCTGCAGGGTTTCAACTGAGAGTTGAGTGGCGTGTGGGAGGAA